CCATAGGCCATATAGTTAAAAATTTAAGAGGTGTATTTAAAAATACACCGCGCCCGAAGCGAGATCAGTAAATAAGAGAACTCATAAAATAAGTTTTGCTAAATTGCACATCATGGCATATCATGGGTGATTATATCAATGGCGGCGAGAGGCGAAATGAAAGTCTAAGCTTCTGGGTGAGTCTAGAAGAGCAGAAACACGTGATCAGCGTCCGGCATTAAGATGGGTCGAGGAGTCAGCGTTCGAAAAATGAAGTTTTTTGTAGTTTTTGGAAATAAATAAAGTTCGAACATAGTAAAAGCAACATCTGTCTTTGAATTTAAGAGTCCTGTGTCTTTTAAAACACTTGAAAATCATCTAAATTTGCGATATAATCATTAAATGAATAGGAAAATGTAAAAGGCAAAAATGAGGTCATGTGGCCCACTAGGGCTAATGAGTGAGAGTAAGAACGAAGAATTCATCGATGAAAAATAAAATCCTAACTTTGCAAAGTTCATCTTTCTTGAATAGTAACTGAAGAGTAAAATAAAAATTTTGTACAATATATACACTACCACCACTTAGAATTGTGGTGGATCGTTCGAGGTCTTTTCACTGCGTGCTCAATAGTAGAGCCATAGTCTGTAAGCGATTTAATAGCTTCATAGGGAGAATTTCTCATATCTTCAAACAAGTTGCGTGCAGAAATTAGGATTTAGTCGTGAACTAAGCTGATATCCAGGTCTTTGTGAATTTGAGAATTTCGCACGAACCAAGGTTCTTTGACTCTGCTACGTAGGATTTTGTTTTAAAGAACGTTTAATTTTTGTCTGTCTATTTTTAGGGCAATAGCCCAGGCTGGAACTGCATAGAGGATTATTGGGCTAATAAGTGAGATGTAGATATGTTTCTTGGTACGGAGGTTTAACTTCGAGTTTCTTCCAATTAATGAGTAGAGAGCAATGAATGAGCGTTCACTATGCTACGTAAGATTTTGTTTTGAAGAACATTTAATTTTAATTTTGTCTGTCTATTTTCGGGCAGTAGCCCAGGCTGGAACTCATAGAGGATTATTGGGCGAATAAGTGAGATGTAGATATTTTTCTTGGTACGGAGGTTTAAATTAATGAGTAGAGAGCAATGAAATGAGCGTTCACTATGCTACGTAAGATTTTGTTTTGAAGAACATTTAATTTTTGTCTGTCTATTTTTCGGGCAGTAGCCCAGGCTGGAACTGCATAGAGGATTATTGGGCGAATAAGTGAGATGTAGATATTTTTCTTGGTACGGAGGTTTAAATTAACGAGTAGAGAGCAATGAAATGAGCGTTCACTATGCTACGTAAGATTTTGTTTTGAAGAACATTTAATTTTTGTCTGTCTATTTTTCGGGCAGTAGCCCAGGCTGGAACTCATAGAGGATTATTGGGCGAATAAGTGAGATGTAGATATTTTTCTTGGTACGGAGGTTTAAATTAATGAGTAGAGAGCCGTTCACTATGCTACGTAAGATTTTGTTTTGAAGACATTTAATTTTTGTCTGTCTATTTTTCAGTAGCCAGGCTGGAAGCATAGAGGATTATTGGGCCGTTACGTTTTGAAGAACATTTAATTTTTGTCTGTCTATTTTTCGGGCAGTAGCCCAGGCTGGAACTGCATAGAGGATTATTGGGCGAATAAGTGAGATGTAGATATTTTTCTTGGTACGGAAGTTCCAATTAATGAGTAGAGAGCAATGAAAGCAGCGTTAGCCTTATTTTTAACATATTGAATATGATCTTTGAAATTTAAGGTTTTGTCAAAAAATTAAGACACCTAAGTATTTATAGGAGTTGGCAACAGGAATATCTTGGTTATTGAGTCGGATATTTATATTCACTGGGATATTTTTTCTGTATCTGCGGAAGAGAACTACGCAGCATTTATCAGTATTTAGTTTGATTTTCCAGTCTTGACAAAATTTGTTAATAATGTTGACTTGGAGCTGAAGTTTCTCTAAAGCATTATTTGGACTTCGTGAACTGGTGAGGATGACTGTGTCGTCGGCATATTTGAGTATATTAGAATGAAAAGGTAGAGGCATATCATTTATGAATATTGTAAAAAGCTTCGGTCCTAAAACGCTGCCTTGAGCTACTCCACTGTAAATCACTTTTTCTGAAGAGGTTGCTTCACCACAGCGCACTTGAAGAGTACAATGTTTAAAATAAGAATGCATAAGCTTGATAAAGCTGTTTGGTAAAAGGAAGTTAGATAGCTTATGAAGTAGCCAGCATGCCACACTCGATCGAAAGCTTTTTCGAAATCGAGGAAGCATGCCGCTACTCCGTTCTTTTTTGTAAATTCTTGGGCAATAAATTCAACTAAATTTAATATTTGATGTGTGGTATTGTGGCCTTTGCGGAATCCAAATTGATGCTTGTCTATTAGATTAAGGCGTTCTAGATGATTGGTGAGCCGAGCACTAAGTACTCGTTCGAAAACTTTTCCAAGCGCTGGCAGAAGACTGATGGGTCTGTAATTTTTTGCTAGCTTTGGATCTTTTCCTGGTTTCGGGATGGTAACAATGATCGAGTGTTTCCACTGCGATGGAAAGTAGCTGAGTCTAATACAAGCATTAAAAATATTTGTAATTAAGACTATGCATCTTCTAGGTAAAGCTTGCAACGCTTCATTAGAAATCATGTCATATCCTTTAGCTTTGCGCTTCTTTAATTTTTTAATAATTTGCTGAACTTCGTTTGGAGATGCAGGCGTAAAAAAATTAATGCTGGGACTGTTGAGGATGCTATTGACAGAGTAATTAATATCTTTTTCGTGATCAGAATTATTATTTTCATGTTGTTTAAAAATATTTTCTAATTCTTTTGCATGAATTTCAGCAATGGAGTCTTCGAAGTGGTGAAATTTTGCCCATGTGATACAGGGGGTGAATTTGATTGGGTGAAAGATTTCTGAGTGATTTAGCTACTTTCCAAACAGAGTTTGGGTAAAGATCCATGTTTTCTAGGAAATTATCCCACGAATTTGATCGATGGGTGGCGATGTCTTCTTTTATTTTTCTGTTTAAATAATTAATATGACGTTTTTCAGTAGGATTGCGAGTAATATGCCATCTTTTTCTAAGTCTATTTCTTTCTTGTATAAGGGATTTAATTTCTTCTGGGATGCCATAGGGATTTTTATTCTTGACTGTATAGGTAGCATTATTGATAGCGTTTTGAATTTTGGAGTTTAATCTGGTGATTTCCAGCTCAATATCGCAGTCATAACGAAGTGTGGCTCTGCTGTTTACAGAATTTAGCTGTTCGGTAACCATATACCAATTAACTTTTGTATGAGCTTTAGGGAGAGGGGGATAAAATCCATAGAAGTTGAAGACTATAGGGAGATGGTCAGACGAAAGTTCTGGGAGAACATCAAGATTAGGAATATTAGGAAGGTTTTTCATCAAAACTATATCTAAAATATCTCCGAGTCCGTTGTGCGTTGGGTGATTGGGAGCAATGAGATTGATGTTACTATTGTGGATGAAGTTGTTTAAATTTTCTCCATTTCTATTTGTGACTCTACAGTTCCAAGAGGAATGTTTAGCATTTAAATCACCTGCTATTAAGGTGGGGTAGTTATTTTCAGTAAGTAGTTTCAGATTATTGAGATCAAGAGTGCTTGAGGGGGGATTGTAGACGGAGATAAAAAGAAAAGGTTCTCTAAAACCACTATAGATAAGTACTGCAGCATTTTCTATAGTACAAGCAGGGTTTAAATCATATTTGGCTGTTTTGATATGGTTTTTTAATGAGAATGCGAATTCGTTTCCTCCTCCTCTATTATGTCTGTCTTTTCTGTAGATGCGGTAGCCTTGTATTTTAAATTTGTCGCAAGAGCGGAGATGAGTTTCATTTACTAGCATAACATCAATGTTAAGTCTAGTAAGAAAATTTGAAATTTCTACTTGTTGGTATCTGATGCCGTTTTGCATTATAGTAACAAATCTTTAAGAAGCTATTTGTAGCTGAGATAAAATTTATTTGACTATGAGTTTGATTAAAATTCGAATTTATAGATAGTTTAGATTTGAGAAATATTCGAAGGCCGCCATACCGAACTCTAGTTTGTCAAATATTGTTTTTGCTGTTTTACATTTCTGGAAGAATTCTTTAACTTGAGTGAATTGGATTTTTATCCAGTTAAAAAGCCAAGTGGGTTTGAGTTTGTGTCTTCTGTTTTATTATTGTTTTAATTTTCCTTTGAAGTATTCCATGAATTTTTCGGTTTGTTCTCAGGGAATGAAGAAAATCTTTTTTTTTTTTTTTTTTTGCCATATTTTGAGTATGAAAGCTTAAAATTTGCTTCACGTGACTTATGTATACATTTGGTAAACAAACAATACAGATGAACTCAGAGATCACGTGACTTATGTACAGCTAATGCAAACAAGCAAGGTCATTCTTCCTCTTCTTCTCTTGCGAATGTATTCCATTCTTATGACGTATTTTCATTTAAAACCAAAACTTTATGGCAAGAAATATCATTTTCCAAAACATCTCAGCAAATCTTTCTATTGCCCGAATTATAATGTGAGCTATAGGTTAATACTTTTTGAAAAAATATCCTTTTATCTTTCCGAATATTTTAATGATATTTGTTTTGCAACAAGTAAGGAGTAGTAAAAAATAATAAAAATATATTAGAAAAGAGCAAAGTCTGCGTACAAAATTTATGCATAGTAAATTTCAAAACTGTTCGGGAAAAAAATGTGTATCACTGCAGAAATATTGTTCGTTCGTTTGTAAAAGTCTTACTAGTTTTAAATTCTAGAGATTCTTAACAAGTCTATAATTAATATATAATCGTAAGAAGCTGATGCATGTTTGCTAAAATAGTAAGTTTTCTCAAGTAGATTTTCTTTGATAATATTAGTTTTTAACTTTTTTTTCTTTGACCAGATTTTGGAATTTTTTGTAACTTTCTTTTTTCATGAAACTTGAATCCCAGACATTTCAACTCTAATTTGTTTATGTTTTCAAATGCACATGTGCGGTGGAACATTCGGTGATGAAATATACGCGATAAGTTTCTAAATACTTCTACGTATACTATATTTATTACAGCAGATCCGTGTAAATGGCTTTTAGTCGCAATGCTAAGGCAATGATTATTTATTTAAAATGAAAGTGAAAAACAAATAATGATTACATTAAACATTAATAACTTGCCCGTTTTTGCCGTTGACATCAATTGAAAAAGTTTCATTTTACGAGGCCAATAGCAACAGAAGAAAATGAATTTGAATTTATAAATGTTTAAGCTTATGTGCAGTTTTTACATCTGTTAATAACTGTACCTTGTTAAAATATACCTAGGGATTGTTTACTTACTTATATATCTTCGCTTTTTTTGTATTTCAAATACACAATATTTATTTGCTTATTGTTACATTCTAGTTTCAGTCTAATATTATTTTCCTGATTATACGTTTATGTGTGTATAATTTTTCTTATTGAGATTATTCGGATTTCAGATAAATTGAAACATTTAATATATTTCTTTTTTAGGTATTATGTAGAGGAATATATAGAGCTTACTGTAGTCAAGCTGACTTAACGTTAGTAAAGGAGAAAAATGGTGTTAAAAGAATTACATTGAATAATCCACGGAAAAGGTTTGCTTCCTGTGATTTATTTATGTATTATAATACTCTATGAAAAGGATGATGATTTATTTATGTATTATATATACTATGATTTATTTATGTATTATAATACCCTATGAAATTCAGCCAACATTCTTAAGATTAATGCTGTATCTAAGTGACGTGTATACACATTTTGAAGTCACTAGAAAGAATTTTGCTTTATTTTTACTTTTAAATAACACCGTATATTCCAATCTAGCCTAAAAAGTATGGCATTATTTTTGCCCCGTTTTCATTTGTACTACACAAACCAAATATCCACTAACCTTATTTAGAAATTTCTTCCTCTTCAGTCTGTGTCACACAAAATTCCTTAACAGTATCCAAAAGCTTCCTAAACTTATTTAAACTCGAATCTGTATATCGGTGTCGCCACATAAATTCAAAGAGTAACAAATATCCTCCATAGTACCGGACTGTCCGGAAAATGGCTACTAATTAAACCTTCATTTACACGCCAGCCAATTATTGCTTTTTTACCCTTTCATTCCAAATCGTACAGAAACTTCAAATTAATCGGCCAATCTACCATCTAAACAGCAAAACAAGCAATGTATTTCCTAACCAACACACACTGCAAACCCTTACAAAACATCCCATAATTCAAAATCATGGCAACCGTTTAAGTTATAATAGGGTTTCCATAACATTTAGCTACTCAGGTTACTATACATAAAACAACAATTTTGTGATAAATGAAACAACAACTTTGCAATAATACAAGGGGTACCCTTCAGTCTACTCTAACCAAAATTTCATTGCAGTTAGCAATATCTGGAAATTCAAATTGAAAAAGATATCGCATTTCAGCTATTCAACAACTGGGACATCAATAGACGTTATAATTTTAAGGAATTGATTGTTAAGATCATACAAAATAAAATTAGTGAACAAATTTTAAAGCTGATGTAAAGCATTTGAAATTAATAGAAGGAGAATTTTCCCTACCCAGTGAGATTCTCCAACATTGGTTCACAGAAGATGCAGCACATTTGCAAAAATTTTTAAAAATTTCCTTGGCCAGAAACAGTTTTCAGTGAAAGAATGTTTAGATTATTAAATAAATTTCCATTCAGCTCAAAATCTTACTGATTATTTCGTATGATGTGACACTCTTAGCAAAATTTGCTAAAGAACTTCAAATTTGCTCAGTGAAATAAAATCAGAGTTAATCTTGAGGATAGTTACTTATAAATTTAAGGAATTTTAAAATAACTTTTAAAAGATTAAATAATATTTTGCTGTAGTCTTAATACTTTGTGATTGCAAAAGAATATTTCTTATTCATTGTAATCATGAAATAAATTTAACGATAAAGAATGCATACAATACGATGTATTATAAGTTTATTTGAAATGTTTTTAATTTTGCTGTTTTATTGTTAACCACGTATGAATATTGAGATATATTACTCAGTATTACTTTACCATTTATTCTTTTATTCTGTTTATTTTCTGGAGATAATCATTTCTACTAATACAATTTTATATCAATTTTTTAAATATTTGATTTATGATGTCTGTATAATAACTGGTGCATACATGTAATATTTTTATCGATATCTATTATTTTTCACACTTTTTAAACTTTAATATGATGCTGTATTTTAGGAATGCTCTTTCTTCTGCTATGCTCACTAAACTTAGGCAAGATATTTTTCAAAATGTGGATGATATTAACCTTCGATGCATTGTGCTTGAAAGTAATGGACCAGTTTTTTCTTCAGGCCATGATTTAAAAGAATTGGTAAGCTCTTTTTTTAATGCTGCAGTTTCAATGTTTTGATTTAATGTTATCTTTTAGATAATAAAAAATTGTCTTTTGTAAAATAGTTTTTTTTCCCCCAGTGTAGAAGTATTTATATCAGTTAATTATTTTTTATGATGCTTTTAACATTCATCAAATTCTGGGATTGTTTAAATGTATTTCAGTTTTAATTTGTTAAGTATGTTTCTTTTTTAGAAATCATTAAGAATTTAATAATTCATCCGATTATTCTCCATGTAATATACCAGAGTATGGTATTAATCTTTTATACAGTCAAACGTCGTTAATCCGGACTCGTCGGGACTTCGGCGATTCCGGATTATCGATCATCAGTTTAAATCTCATAAGATGGCATGCAGAAATTCTAAAATTAAAAATATGAAACCGTAATTTATGAAATAAAGAACAATTATGATCTAAAGGGTATCAAAATTTACGAAAAAAAAAAAAAAAAAAAAAAGCTTAATATTTATTTGTTTACTTTATTAAACATTTCTTTCAATGTAAGTTTTTTAAGTTGCTTCGTTTTATGTGATAATACTTTCTCTTTAATTCTATAAACAGACATAATTTCTTGTTCAGTTACAAAGTTCCGCTGTTCAAGTCCCGTTAATTGCTGTGCCGAGAATACCGACTAACTTGTCAATTGAAATTTTTTCGTTTTTACTAACCTCTCTGTCGCATTCTTCATGTCTTTATCCATTTTTTGCAGCAATTCAACTTTTTGTTTGATGGACATCGAAACATACTTTCGTTTTGTAGATCCTTTGGAAGTTCCAGCATCGGAAATTCTATTTGACATAATCGAAAGTTCAAGTTTACTTTTATAAAATTGCTCTTACAGTCTGCAAAAAATGATAAGAGGGATCCAATTCGAAGATTAAGGAACAACACAATCATTAACATTAACTGAAATAGATAATTAGATAATTTTCGCTTACACCGTCCGTTATACATTAAACGCGCAAGCGAAAACGTATTCTGCACTGTCGCACACACATATGCGCAGTAGTCAAAGTCTTACGCGCACGCGTAAAACGCATGTGCCAACGCGGCGCATGCGCAGAAAGTTTTTAGCTTTGAGGTCCGGATTATGGGTGTCCGAATTAACGACTTTTGACAGTACTTTTGTTTCTATTAGAACAGTTTCATTTTAAAATGCTTTAAATGTACAATGTTTCATATTTTAAAATATAATCCAAAATTTTAATACAGTACAAAGTCTTTAATCCAGACTTGTCGGGACTTCAGCGATTCCGGATTAGGGGTTTTCCCGGATTATAGATCATCAATTTAAATCTGGTAAGATGGCATGTAGAAATTATACAATTAAAAATATGAAACCGTAATTTATGAAATAAAGAGCAATTATGATCCAAAGGGTATCAAAATTACAAAAAAAAAAAAAAAAAAAAAAAAAAAAAGCTTAATATTTATTTGTTTACTTTATTAAACATTTCTTTTTACGCGCATATGCATAAAGCATACATTACGCATAGGCAAAATTAGAAAATTGCAACCAGAAAACTATTTGATGTGTATTCATGATATTTATAATGACGAGGAAATTGATTTAAATCATGTCGGAGTACATCAAGATGAAACACTACATTTAGTAAGGAATTATAAGCCAAATAAAATAAAAACTTCTGCCCTGAAAATGAGGATAGTACTGACAGATCAACTTCCAGTTCATTGCGTGCCATGATGTCCTCCCCCTCCACAGAGCAGCATAAAATTGATAAACAGATTTCAGAATCGTTAGAGAAACAAATCACCTCTCTGTCACTTTTTTCATGCCTTTATCCATTTTTTGCAGCAACTCCACTTTTTGTTTGATGGACATCAAAACATGCTTTCACTTTGTAGATGCTTTGGCAGCTCCAGAATCGGAAACTCTTGACATAATCGAAAGTTCAAGCTTACTTTTTATAAATTGCTCTAACAGTCTGCAAAAAATAATAAACCCAATCCAATTAGAAGATTAAGGAACAACGCAATCTGCAATATTAACTGAAATAGATAATTAGATAATTTTAGCCTAGCTTATATCATTCATTAAGCATTAAACACGCATGCGTAAACGTATTATGTGCATGCGTAAAGGTATTATGCACATGCATAAATGCATTATGCGTTTACACATGCGCAGAAAGTTTGTAGCTTTGAGGTCCGGATTATAGATCATTCCGGATTATGGACGTATACTGTATTCTTATAAAGAGCCATAAATATTTTGATTTACGTTCAGCTTTATTACTCATGTCTAAGTCCATGTCTAAATCATGTAACATTAAGATGCAAATGCTGTTTTATTTTCCTTCTTTCACAGACATTCATTTCTTGAACCTGTTTTTAATTTTCACAATTTAAAGGTTTTATTCTGAATTAGTGCCCATTAGTAGCTGAATGGTTATGACTACTGAGCACTGTAGTTCTGAGGTTTAAATGCTAGTAAGTGGGTGAACTGCATGAGTGTTTTTATGGCTTTCTTCGCGTATAACATGAACACAAGCCAGTTTTCCATATAAAGCCCTTAGTGAAAACGGGCACCTCTTGTGTGCTTTACCTATTCAAATAACCTAACCTAACCTAATTTGAATGAATAATTTTCACCATCGTGAAAATTAATAATTGTTCAAAGTGGCACAAAATTTTTTTTTTTTTTTTTTTTTTTTTTTTTTGATAGAGAGTTTATTGGATTTTTCTAAAAATAATATTTTTATAATCATTTTGTGTAAGGTTGAATTTTACTTAATTTTAAATTCAAGTTGCCATCTGTCCAATTTAGTTTTATGCATATTTAACTGCACAACATTGCAAATTGCATAAGTACTTTTTCGTAGTTTTACAAATTTAAACTCAGGCATCATAGTTTCCTTTACTTTTTGCCTTCAAACTACAAATTTCTATTGATGACCAAGTGGACAAGACCATTAAATACTGTTAGATCGATGAATGTTCAAATACCAGCCAATGAGGTAATTGCATTGGCATTTTTGTCGTTTTCTTCTTTTACAATATGAATATAAACCAGTTTCCCTGAAAAAGTCCACCATGAAGGCCACAAATTAAACAACCATAAAAACCTTTGCCTAATTCCTTTAATTATAACTGGGTTTACCTATTAGCTTTTTTGTAACCTTTTTTGCTACCTGTAGCTTTTTTTAATTTATAAGTATGCTGGACACTGAAACTAAACCAGATTATAAAACCTGGCAAACAGGCTCACTGCTTGGCATTTTTTCTCCATGCATAATGCAAGTATGAACCAATCCTCCATAAAGGCATCCCTTTCTTCAGGCAGATAGCCCCTGTGTACTTTGTTATGTTTTGTTTGTAATGAAATGCAATATGTTTTATTTGCATATTTATGAAAACTAATTTACTTTTTTGTAATTAACTGTTTAGTTCAAGTATTATATGTACTAATTCAATACAAAGTTATTAGTTGTAGAAATTTGCTGAAAGTTAGTACAGTCAAAAGTCGTTAATTCGGACACCCATAATCCGGACCTCAAAGAGCTAAAAACTTTCTGCGCATGCGCCGCGTTGGCACATGCGCACAGTCGTTTTACGCATGCGCATAAGACTTTGACTACTGCACATATGCGTGTGCGCAAGTGCAGAATACGTTTTTGCCTGCGCGTTTCATGTATAACGGACGGTGTAAGCTAAAATTATCTAATTATCTATTTCAGTTAATGTTAATGATTGCGTTGTTCCTTAATCTTCGAATTGGATCCCGCTTATTATTTTTTGCAGACTGTAAGAACACTTTTATAAAAGTACTTGAACTTTCGATTATGTCAAATAGAATTTCCGATGCTGGAACTTTCCAAGGATCTACAAAACGAAAGTATGTTTCGATGTCCAACAAACAAAAAGGAATTGCTGCAAAAAAATGGATAAAGACATGAAGAATGTGACAGAGAGGTTAGTGAAAAACGAAAAAAATTTCGATTGACAAGTTAGTCGTATTCTCGGCACGGCAATTAACGGGACTTGAACAGCGGAACTTTGTAACTGAACAAGAAATTATGTCTGTTTTATAGAATTAAAGAGAAAGTATTATCACATAAAACAAAGCAACTTAAACAACTTGCATTGAAAGAAATGTTTAATAAAGTAAACAAATAAATATTAAGCTTTTTTTTTGGGTAAATTTTGATACCTTTTAGATCATAATTGTTCTTTATTTCATAAATTACGGTTTCATATTTTTAATTTTAGAATTTCTGCATACCATATTACGAGATTTAAACTGATGATCTATAATCCGGAGTCGCCGAAGTCCCGACGAGTCCGGATTAATGACTTTTGACTGTACTAGAAATTAAGGAATCTGATACCTTCTGATTATATGCACCCTCATCAAAAAGTCACGAACTTGTTGGAAACTTTAGAGATAGATGCTTGTTTTGGTATTTCTATAACTATTTCAATGATGCATCCAGTGCTGCTGGTTTTTTAATATTTTTTTTAGTCCAAAGGGGCAATTTACCCAGGACGACTGTTAATTTCATTTTGGCGTTTTGCGTTGATTTACTATAAATGTAGGTTCACTTTTCAAATTGTTGCCACCAAATATTAGAGTCCTGCATTATATTTAAAGAAATCAAATAATGAAGAATCTACATAAATATATGTATATTTCTGGCACTGTGATAAAAAAATGGTACCAAGAGACATCAAATTTTGAATAACGTACGTTTCCACCTTAATACGCGCATCTGGAAGAGTCCAAATTATGGAATTTGTTTTACTATCCATTTTATATTTTGTAAAACCTTTAATGAATTTTTGATTAACAAACTTAATGATTTAAAAGTGAGCAATGGCAACACTGTACGGGGAAAAAAAAAATATTATCTCCAGCATCCAAAACTGTGTATCGGAAATTCTAAAGATATGCTCATTTAAAAATTATTTAGTGATATTGCTGTTGAACTGAATTTTATGGTTTGGGTGTGAAGAAA